GAACTGCTTTTGAGGAATATTAAATATTTATTCTGGGGTCTTACAGCAGCTAGAAAGAAGTGTTCTATATCCAAAATAAAAGCTTACTAGGCCAGGTGCTTAAGTCTTTGCCAGACAAGGCCCAAAGAACAAGACAATATCTGTCATGATGGAAGAACATGAGGGATTCAGAATCTTGCTGCTGGATAAACTCATAATTAATGGGTGTCCCTCCAGAAGAGGAGCGGGTCAGACTGAAACAATTACCACGTAACAGCTGTTGGGTGTCTTCTGATTAATTCTGCAGACTAGACCAACGTCAAAGCCATCACTGTCAAGGACAACTAACCAGAAAAATCTGTTTGTAATGCATCAAAAGCAATTTACTGCTCAGTGCCTCTGCTGAGGCAGCAATCGGCATGCTTTTGAAATAACAACAAAAATCTTGGAAAGTGAATTTTGTTTCAGGCTGCTTAATTCTTAAAAAGCTCAGAGTTGCAAGTCCAGGCAAGTAACCAAGCTCTCTGCTACATCTGTTTTAAGAACATTTATTGCAGGTTTGTGTCTTAATATCCCTTCAAGTTCATATTTTGCTTCATTGTGCAGAGAAGACTTCTTACGGTATCAGTACTGGAAGCAATTCCTGTTGCTTAAAATTAGAAATCTCACTGTATGGGGCTCTCAAAATATAATTGAGAGAAAATACACAACCACTTGCTCCTTCACTTCGATCTCTGCAGCAGCTTCTGCATGGGTGAGAATTTCTACTCAGACCTGCTACCATGAAAGCTTGCACATACGATGCACATAAATACACAGAGCAAGGACTAGAATCTGTCTTTGCATCTTCAGAATAAATTAGATGCTTTGTTTTCTACGGCCTATTTATTGGAGAACACTGCTCAAAAGAACGGATTTATTAAAGCTGCTAAAACATAACAATGGGCTTAGTTAAAAAAAAAAAATACAACAAACCAAAACTGTTAAGGTGTAGCTCCATAAATTTGATTTGAGCAGGGCTAACATAAAGCTCTTCTTATGACTTGAGTACATAGTTTATGGTTGGTGCTGCAACCACAGTTCATAGGAAGTTTTTCTTATTTAGGCAAGTAGTCTAATTGAAGAAAATCCATCTACCCCTGTATGCCATCACAAGGCTGCCATTTGATGTCTACTTTTACCAGCGCTGCCCTTGATCTAAAAATACAGCATTATTTTTCATCTGAATCATTCCCCGTAGCTGGTTCACTGCACGTTCACAGAGAGGTGTGCTAGCACAATGAAGGAGGCAGCAGGGGGCTGAGAATAACTGATCAAGGACTGCCTAAGTAGCAAACACAGCACCGCTGCTGAGTGTCTGGTCAAAACACAAACAGTCAAATAAACAAGTTCTGAATATTTCTGCCTCATTTTCTCCAGCTGCAAAAAAAAAAAAAAAAAAAAAAAAAAAAATCCTGTTGCCCTTCTCAAAAATGACCTTTTGAGTAATTGGAAGGAGGCTTAAAACGTTTGAAGAACTCTGAATAAATGGATGTACAGTAGCCATTTTCAGATCGTAACTGCAGTATTTTTTTCTTAAAAGCTGCATCATTTAACAGATTCTTTTCGTAATCAAAACATATAGAATGTTTCACTTTTAAAAATAAAATAAAATTTGTAGCCATCAATTCCAAATATTGTGAGGAAAGCTGCAGTGGCAATTCAGGAATGACCCATCCCCATGGGTTTCTACACAGAGAACATAAGGTGATGCAAGGTAAGATGGGCTACTTCAATAGTTGTAACAACTGCTGGAAGCTTCTAATTCATCTCTAGTTTCTGGATTTCTCAAGCTCTTCTTATAAGAGATACCAACAATATTTTGTTAGAGAAAAAAATAGCTATATTTTAAAGACTGCTTATATAATCCACTCAGAAAGCTCTCTGTGGAACATAAACGAAATTCACAATATTATTGCCAATCTAATAGTTATGGTGATACTAAGAGGTGCAATCCCTCCATTTCATTAGGTATAATCATAAACCAAGCTGAAAGGTACAATTACTCAATACCACTGGAAATAAACCTAGAGAAAGATGAAAACTGCAGCTGTCTCCATACCTCCTCTAAGGAAATATTTCCAGCTTTAAACAGTTACTATTGTGTACTCCCATAGCACCTTTCAATGGCGTTCCACAAAGTTGAATGCAAGTATTCAACATCCATGATTCTTCCGTTCAATTTACAGAAGGCAAAAAATGATGTGCAAAGTGAAATGATTACCTAACAATACAACAGAAACAAGAGCAGCATGGAAACTAAGACACCCAATTTCCAGGCCTGCTGCTCTTTCCAGAGTTTAATTCTATGACATAACTTCCCCCCAGCTTTTAACATTTTGTCTATGAAACTCTCAAGCTGCCTTCAAGTTACAGGCTGACTCATGATGACAATGTTCCTTGTAAAAGCAATAAATACAAGCAGAAGAAAGGGACTGTTTAGTCTAAACTGGAAAAGACACAAGGGCAACATGATAATAGTTTTCCTATGTATGCTAGAGAAAATGGAGAGGGACTCTTCCTGGAGGCATGCAGAAAAAGAAGGGCAGTGGTCACAAGTTGCAACAAAGGAGACACTAATTGAATATGTGGAAAAAAGTTTCCACCATGAGGGTAGTTAAACACTAGAACAGGGGCCCAGAGAGGCTGTGCGGTCTCCAGGCTCTGAGAAGTTTGCATGGCTCTGGGCAAGGTGATCTAATTTATGTAACCTTGAGCAGGGGGTTGATGACCTCTCCAGAGGCCTTTTTGGGGCAAACGATGCACCAGATAACCTCTTGATATCCCCCACCCCCACTATTCCTTATTAGAGCTCAAAGTATTACCACTGGCAAACATCATTATGCCCATTTTACAGATGTCAAAATCGAGAGACACAGAGAGAGAAAGAGAGAGAGAGATGAAGTGATTTCCACAAGGTGAAGCAGCAGACAAGTGTTATATTTAGTCTCATGCCTATCACAAGGAGATTATATTCCATGTTCTACTTCCCCACTAGTCCCATATTGCTTTTCCACCTCAAGGAAATTCTACATTAACATGACAATCTGTACTACAGATGAAAAACTACCTTTTTGTCTTCACTGATGTCAGAAATGCCACCCTACCAGCAAGGGAGCTATTTGAGCCACAACTTGATTAAATTTCTCTATACTGGCTTGTAACAAACAATTTAGATGTTTGGTTGCCTCTGGCATCTTAGCTCTGCGTATTTCTGCCCCTCATTCTCTATTTACAGTAGCAGGCACTAAGATCATGGCATAGTCAAGTTACTACTTGCTAAGCCCCTCCCTCTTTCCAACTTTTTTGAGCAATGTATAGCCAGCATTTATTTACTTATACAACACAGACAGGGCTAGCCAACAGTTAAGAAAGTGTGGTCCAGCTTTACCAAGTCAGTTGAATTAGAAAAGATCACCCTGCCTGTACAAAAGAGTAATAAGCCCCTATAAATTCAATGAAACATTCATAATATTTTAAGCACTTGAAAAAAAAAAAATTTATATGACCCTTCATTTCTTCTTTTTCATCAAATGCCTCATTTTAGTAGTACTTGTCCATTACAGTAGTAATTTCTTCTACTGCTCCTGGTGATTTGGGAGTTTCCAGAATAAAAACTATACACCTATACAATACACTATCTTCCCTTATGAAGTAATGCTTTCCTAAGATGCTGCCGACCATCTCTTGTCAGCTACCATTCCTTACTCCACTCTCTCCTTCCCTCATCATAATCAGTTATCCAGTGTTACCTAGGATCCAAATTGTGCAGCTAGCCTTTCAGTAAGGACACCTTTTATTAAAACAAGATCTAATTCATGCTACAGGACTATAAAATAAAGTTTGCTGAAGTCTTCCCTTCACATAAGTTACAATATGTCAGAATTTCATCTTTTCCCCAACTGCCAAAGAATATAGTAGTACTTTTTGTCACTATTTCAATTTTCAGTACAAGTAACTGCTCATTTGGATAATTCACTCAGATTTTAAGAGGCTGGATCAGTTCTTTGAAACACGATCTGTTCAAGAGGCCAAGCTATATAACTTGTCAAAAACAGAGTGTTAAAAAAAAAAAATTACAGCAGTTGTATGTCGGGATGCAGATTTTAGTTTAATATCTTTACTCCCCCACCATTTGCAAACTAAAGTTGAAAAACCTTCCACCATTTGCTATGAGAACATAATTACCAGCAGAAATCACGGCATTACTCAAGTGACCAGAGTCTAATCCCGAAAGTGATGTAACAAGTTTTCTCAAAGTTAGGGAAAAAAACGTTCTATCTTTTTTTCTAACTACTTGATGACCATGATATCTTAGAACCCTGAAAACTAAATGCCGTCAAGTGACACCACTGAGGGTCAAAACAACTGGTTCACACTGACTTATGGGGGAGTAAACACCATTACAGAGGCTGTCGGACTTCCCCAATACCTATTTTGTTACTCCCCACATTATCCAGTTTGTTACCCAAGCGCTTTGTCCAATGTAACCGCACTTAAAGTAAACAAAGCCACATATTTAATGCGCTTTGTTTGTTTAAAACTTAAGCAATCTATTGGGATACTGTCAAATTTAATCACAAGTAGTTGTATTACATAAACTAGCCTTTGAGATATTGAACTATCCTGAAACCGGCTCTGAGTTTTGGAAAAGCACCTTGCAGCTAATGAGGTGAAAACAATGAATGCACACAACTAAGTAATATGAAACAGGGAGATTTTTGTTTCTTATAAACTCTCTGAGTCACAGTAACCTTACACAGTGATGAAAGGAGACAAAAATCTGCAATGGAATGTGATGATTAAGAACAGCGAGGTAAGCTAACAAAAATATTTGTTACCTAAAAGAAGAAATTAAGAACAGTAAAACTAGACACATAAGAGAATTTTAAATTGTCTATTTTCACGCCGGTCACAGACCATTCAGAAACGTGACACTGAAAACACATCTTCTTATATTCAACACTGGTACTCTGGATTACCTGTTTTTCTTCCTCTGGCATATCTTTTTCTAGTTCTAGTAAGTATTCTTCATCTAGTTCTGTCTGCTTCCTTGAGCTATTCTCATCATCCTGTAAATTCCCTTCATCATCCAGCATAGGTTCTTTTCCCTCAAAGGAGTCGTGACAGTCATGGAAACACTCATCTGCTGTTGTGGGATCTTTGGCTGAAGATGGTGCGTATCCACTTTCAGTGTTTTGGGGATTCTGTGCATCTTTGGGGCCAGTCTCTGAAGACTTCTGATCAGAAAGCTTTAAGTGATCAAGTAATTCTTCAGGTGGACTTGCATCTTTAAACTCTTCCATGTTGGACTCCTTGGAGGGGTTAGGTTTTTAGAAATGAGAAAGAAATAACCCTCAGTAAGTATCATGTAAATGCCTTGTCAGCAAACAAATCTGTGAAGTACCTAATAGTACTCTTTCATCACCTGAGGGAAACTATTGTCACTCAGGGGAGGGACCAATTTATACAGGCATCTTCTATGCACTATACAGTGACATGGGGCCAGTACGGTGTTCCCATAAATACGCTAATTCACAAGCTCGGATTCCCAGGACCGGCACGGCACAGCACCACGCTACGGCTTCTCCTCTGCAGGGGGACTGAAGTCACACACACAGGCCTCAGCACCGCCTCGCCCGCCCGGTCCCCTGCGCACTGCGTGCAGCGAGCCCCCCGCCCCCGCCGCCCCAGGCCCGGCCTGCACCGCGCTCC